GAAGGATCCGAATCTTCACAGCACTTACTACACGTCCCTGGGAAGTTTATATGCAGTAAGCTAATCAACAACTGAGTGTATATTTCAGAGGAACACAGTAATTGGTCATACCACTTGGACTATAAGCTTCCTACGTTTAAACTAAGCTCATAGAGAGGTGATATAGCAGCTCCCTCCTTCCTTTGCTTTTCCAGCTAACTAGGCCGGCACACCCGGAAGAAATCCCTCCTGAAACTGATTCAATTTCTGTCACTGATGTTCGGTCACCAAATTTGCATTTGTTATAACATTTGAAAAGAAACACGACAGTTTGCACGTCGCCGGTAACAAGGTTCATCACTGTCTCACGGGAGTTTGTCTGCAGCTGAACGAACTTGCGCTGCATCCACTTCACTTCACTCCTCTGTCGGGAACGCCTACACTCCCAAAAATATTCAGTCAATCCCATCGAAAGGCCTGCGTGCGCGCGCACCGGTTTCGTGCTGTTGCTAGGCGTAATCACAACTCGGTAGCGTTTCGCCATTGGCTGCGTTCACAATGCTTCCTTAGATTCTGATTGGCCCATGTATGCGAGAAGTTGCTCGACTCTCCCAGTCCTCTTCACCCGGAGCAGACTTGACAGAATGCTAGTCCACCTGAACAGCATGCTATAAATACACACAGTTTTTCAGTAAAAGATGACTTGCATGTTTCCATACATTTTGCCATAGCCGATCGTTTACTGTTATGCCAGTCATTATGGCGGCAACGGACGACAGTCGAGAACATTTACGGCTCATGTTATTATTGGGCATAAAATCGGGTCGTAACGTCCTCCCATGTCCATTGAGTTCCGGCAACAAAATCAAAACGACCGGAGATGGACGGGAACGATGACTGAAAGGCTTAGACAGCCCAGATAGGTGGCTCTGTCATCCTCACACACCAGGCTTCAGAGGGGGTGAGATCTTGTGTCTCATATAAGTTGGCGTCATAAGGACCATGTTAAGACGAAATCATTGCACGACGACCACCACGCCGGAAGTAAAGTAAATGTTTGTTGACACGCCGAGGTGCCTTAAATGTGCGTTATCAAGTGCCATATCAAATAAGCTAGCGACCAGATGCACTTTAGGCTGGCCGAAAACTGCCGTGCATATCACATCTGCGAGTGGCCTGTCCGAGTTCGATTGCTCGTTGCTGTAAAAAGGGGCACAATAAATGACGCAGAGCAAAGCCTCTGTCTAATGCATGTCGAATATATGCGCAGCTATCAAGCATGCTTTATGCAGACTCGGTGCGATTCAGCCAACGCAGACCGTGGGAGCAGAACCAAGATACCTGCACAACACAGCCTCGAGTAGACATCTAATAAGCTTAAGATTTTCAGACAGTATGTAATTGTAGTGTTTGGCGCTTATTATCTTGACCTTCAAAATCGCGAAACATTTTCAAACAGACATTTCGCAGAATATATTAGATACTATAAATTGGTGACTGCAAGCGATCAGCAATCTGTTACTTCTTCCTGGTTGGACAGATTCCATATAACCGATTTCGAAAAACCGAAACTGCGGCACCTCAAAACAACACACAGACATGTATTCAACGCTAATTATTGAAATACCAGCTGGTGGAATTTTACATTTTTAATATCTCAGGTCTCAGCTGCTCCGAATATTTATTAGCGACGACGGTTCAATCGCACAAATAACGACGTCCGCTGCATGTCCAACGGAGTAAGCACAACCCCGGCAACTTTCTTGGGCTTGTGCAGTATCTACCAAACTTATTCCTCCCTCGTCCAACTTGATCGAATGGCGAAACAACGTCAAACCGGACTGAGGCGGTGGTGAGCACTGCAGCAAACTAAGTAACACAACCTGTCCACGTCCGACCCTATCCTTGCCTCCGTCACACGAATCGAAATTTACGTTAGTGAGAACGCGATCAGGGTCACGCTGAGAGAGAGAGAGAGTCATTGCAACCTGATTCTCTAAGTCCTGAAAAGGTCCGAGTTATCTCGTCAGTTGGCATTCTTCCAAGTGACGACTCTTAGTGTGTCTTTAAGGATTCAAGCGCGTCAGATTCGTTGTTCGTGGTGGCTCACGTCACGCCGACTGGGATCCCCACCGCCCCCCCCCAATTGTTGTCGCTGGTTAAAATCATGGTCGTGCGTTTGTTGTAAACCAGGGAGTGTCAAAAGAAGAGGGGGCGTTCACCGGGAGGGGTTTATTTGAGATCCGACGTTTCGGGTAGTTTATTCGTCTACCCATCTTCAGGGGCTGGGGGGTCCTGTGCACAGCACAGCTGTGTTCGCACGTTGTACCGACGGGTGGAAACTCATTGCAGCACGCCAGTCGCCAAACTGGATGAGATAAAGCTCCTCCGAGAACTTTTCAGAGCCAATGGCTATCTGCGGGCATTCATTAAACGAAGCCGGAGGCAGCCAAAGAAACGGAACGAAGAGCATAGTCAGCCAAACTCGTGGCGGAGCATTCCGTACATTAAAGGGGTCTCCGAAGTCGTGGCTCGATGACTCGCGCCACTCGGAATAGGTGTTGCCCACAGACCTGACTCAACAATCCGTCGGCAAGTGATGCGGCCGAAAGATCCGATCCCTAAGCAGGAGATTTCAGCCGTTGTCTACCGACTTCAATGCAGCTGCGGAAGTTGCAACTACGTTGGGGAAAGCGGCCAACGGCTGCAAACGCGAATGCACGAGCATAAGTTGGTCGTGCTAAGGTTGGATCCAAAGTCGGAGGTAGCAACCCATGCCGCGCAAATGGGACACATCTTCAACTTTGACGCCGTTGAGATTGTGGGCCGGGGCAGCGATCACAAAGCAAGGCATGTGCAAGAAGCCTGGATGTCCACCGACCGCTCTGCCAACCGCCACATCAATTTGCCTCCCCCCTATCTGACTTTGCGAACCTTCTTAGCGGGGGACAGTCACAGCGCGGAATAATCGGGGCCGTCAGTCATCACCGCGGCCGACGAGGCCGATTCAGGTCACGGTGACATGCGGGTTGGATGCAGCCACACAGGCGGCATTGGCCGATCACGCGTTGGACAAAGGGCGCCATAATGAGTGCTGTGCACAGGACCTCCCAGTCCCTGAAGATGGGTAGACGAATAAACTACCCGAAACGTCGGATCTCAAATAAACCCCTCCCAGTGAACGCCCCCTCTTCTTTTGATATGCCACCTGGGAATCGGATTTTCACTACTATTGATGTGAACCAGGGAGTGTGTTAGCACGCCTAGATGCTGTTATGTGTGCAAAACAGAAGGTTAGTCGGAAATAGGACGTGTGCTGAGCACGAAAGACGGCACAAGTGCGGAGGCTTGTGGAAACTTCCGGGTATCTGGCAGGGGGCTGTCATAGGCTGATGGGTGACCAATTAGCACAAAGAAGGTGTGAACAGGGGTGCATGTCCTTGACCATTCGCTTGTCACGCCTATGTGTCTTGACGGCCCGGGTAGGATACGCTGCAGATGCGGATTTAAGCCATGCCAGCCATATGCCTCATTTCTGCCCTCTAGTGTTCTTGAACTCGGCATGACACCGGGCCCAGGTGGGGGAGAAGGACGGTGCGGTAGATGCTGTGCAAGTCCACTGTCACTTTCAACTAATTCACACACAGATCACCGTCCCTGCTCTCACCCTGTCGTGTAGCACACAGTCGACATCTTCGGAGCCAACAATGATCATTATCATCAGTGCTGGACATACATTCTCCACAAAAGGCTGCCATACTCCCTGGTTTATAGGCACGCAGTGCGGTATTTAGAGCCATAGGATGTGATTATCCACATGGCAATTCTCAGGATTCAAATGAGCTAATCCATCCGTCAGGGGAGACGAAGTAAATTATTTGACCGAAAGACTTTACTTCTTGCGAAGCCTTGATCCCAACGCGAACCAGGCCAAAAAAGTCACAGCTGGGCTGCCTCGGTGGACCGGAAACACGGGTTCACGTGGGTATTTTTTCGTGGAGGACAGATGTTGACGGGCAGGCAAAAGTGGAAAGCCACCAAATTACATCTCAATCAGGTAGCCTTAGGGAAAATGATAGGGATTTGAGGTGCACTGCACTGCTTAATTTATTATGGTTTTAGTCTGCATGCAAAGTCGTTGATCACTTTTCCCGATTCAAGACGCAGTCAAGTCACTGCTGTTCCAGCATGAAGTCAAAGATGGACTGTTCCCGATTTCTCTGTGCCGGTAGCAGCTGCGCAGGCGAGGAAGAACGAACATGCATGGAGAGCGAACCAAGATCGGAAACTGCGCCTGACCTTTCACAAGTCTGCACATCAGGCTCTTCAGTCCCATTACCAGACTACAAACCGTCCTCTGGACTGGACATACTAACTGCGTCACGGAAGTAGACTCGTTTATTGAGATGTTCACTGAGGACCGGCTGTTCCGTGCCAAAAACCTACACTGTCGGCAATCAACTAGGCTCACCCAGCGGCCACTGCTGTCTGAGAGGACAGCTCGACACTGGATACAATAAACCCCTCTTTCTGGTGACTGCTGTTTTTTTATTCCCTCAGCACCGGACTTGGCCTGACGGTTGCAGCGATTTCAGTACAGTCTTACCACTTAGATGTCACACGGCTCAATTTCCCCGTTCATGCATAATCCTCTTTTCTTGTTGCTCGGTTGGGGGAGAACGTTTCTCAATACCGTAAAACTCGGCCGCCGTGTTCGACATACAGCGGAAACCAATTAGAACTGACCAAAGGTGGTCGTCGTTTGCTGCGAATATGGAGGGGTTTCATGTGTAGCACTACCCAAGCATTTGTCGCACTGTCTGGCATGCAGTGAGCCTGTCTGATCGTAGGACTATTGTGGAACTACCCCCTATCACAAACGAACTCCGCGACTTGAAAATCCTTACAACAACCAGCTTAGAGAGCTAGCCATGTCAGGTGAATTTTCACATCACAACAGCATTTAAGAAGAAATGCAAAGTTCATGTTCCAACTTTATTCAGCAAGCTTAATAAATTCCTTTACAGCGTCTTCAGCAGTTCTGATACCTAAACAGGGCGAGAAAAAAACCGGTATGTTAATTTTCCAGCATATAATATAGCACATTATGTCACCTAAGAAGATCAAGTGGGATTAACTCTGATCTGAACTTACGCGTGTAGGGTCGTGCTAACAGCGATCCCTTAGTTAAAAAATGCCCATGGTCTCGGGGCATTAGTAATTCAGGGCCTACACTTATACGACTGTTGCGAAACGCTGTAGTTGTTCTGGAGATGGCAAAAGCCCTCCCGGTGCGCCAAGATCTTTTGGTTTCACTATTTGGTTATGCGCCCTTGTCATGCACAAACTGACCTTGGAGCGTGGGGGGGGGGGGACATTCGCCACCAACTCCTCTCCAAAACTTGAACACCGACATACTCTGCTGAAAGCACCTACCCTCCAGACTTTACGTAACATCCTTAGGCCACATAAGCCCGTTTCTAATGGACAAACCCACAATAAAGTCCGTACTTGATAGGGCTTTGGCAATGACCCCGGTGATTTCAGATAATGCTTCCGCATGAGCGCGATCCGGTGCAACAGCACCGTTTTGTAGTCGGGAAACGTACTCGTAAGACAGGCGATGAAATACGTGTTTAAGTCACGTCAACCGTCTTTCCTTGGACTGCCTAAGAGATATTATTATCCGCCACAAAGACTAACGGTAGAGGAAGTAGAACGCTGTGACAAAGGACAATCGGCAGATAGAACCCTATTTATCATGCACACCGCAACGTTGTTATTAAACTAGACCAGCTCGAAGCCAGACACTTGACTGAGTTGCGTGCTCCAATCATGCATTTTAAAAAAATCGGATGTAAATAACGTTAACCACGAACTTTTGCAGGCTGAGACTTAAGAATGCACCAAGCCTTTAATTTTATTCAGGTTATTTGAGGGAAACGTAGGTGTTTGACCTTTGAACTCCCTATTTGTTACAAAGAAAGGAAGTATATGAAAAAGCAGGAAGGGGAAACATCAAACAGCTGTAGAAGAGTTATCGAAAATGTACAGATAAACGATTTACTCTAAGTGACCTAAATGCTAACAATACTAAGTACAGTGTACAGTAGTCAGTCTATACATAATTGTGCTATGGAAAAAGTGGTACGATTTCAGTTATCAGAAGGAGCTGAAGTGAATGTCAGTAGTCACGAGCAATGAATAGGTGATGAATGAGAAATCGAAAAAAAACAAACGTTACTGAAACATAGACAGTAATATGGTAAACGTAATCAACCGCTGCCGCTGAGCTTCAACACGCTGTCAATCGGATGGCATTATGATGTGCAAGGGCATACCGATCCAGCTTCCTCTCAAACATCTCGACGTACGTGGACATATCGATGTCTGAAGACTGTGCACTCCAAACTTCAACCATTCTGTTTCAGCCGAACTTTCATGTGCCCAACCTAGCGTGAGTCACGCCTAGTTTGATTGCACGACTTCGCAGTTTCGTTGTGATTGTTAGCTCAAAGAATTCTTCAGGTAGAAGACAGCAATCCTAACCATGCATGATACGGAGTGTTTGTATCAAGTCGCCTCTTAGCTACCTGAACTCAGAGGAAAGCGATCGTGATTAGATAACCGTGTTTCGTAAAGTAGTGAACCCTGTCCACTAACGAGTTTGGTTGCACGACTTTGAGCTTTGTCGAGGGTGCTGAGGTCCGCAGCGGTCTAAATGAAGTCATGAGTCATGCACCTAAATGTCGTCTACTTCCTGTAATGGCAGGCAATTCAGATAGCAAACGCTGCGGTTCGGGGATCGGTCGCACTTAGTCACATTAACGACAAGAGCCAGTTCCACGACGCCTTCTCGAACAGGTTCAGGTTTGGCTGCGGACACACCTCACCTAAATTTAGTTCCGATGACGCTCTAAAGTTCAGCTGATGTGATGCACCAACTGCCAGGGTCCAGCGGTCTAAACAGCACAGCAGATTTGTCACGCATGATCTACCCCTAGGTATGTTGCATAGCAGAAAATGCTGCTCTAGGAAGGGCATTGGCTTTAGTTTAAATATCTCCTCCAGTGGTGTAAGCCGTGCACTGACTGAGTGAGACCACAGGCGCTGCCCACAAATCATGATTTTTCGGTTCAATAGTCCTACCTTACGCCACAGGAAGCTCGAGCAAATAAACTCGGTCGCAGAAATCGGACAGCCTTCACCGTTAACATACGTTATACAATAATTATCCTACTCAGATGTTTTAAGTAGCCATGAAAAGTTCGAATATTTATCTAATAGTGACGAGACTTGCATCATTAGATGGCTAAACTAAGGAAGGGTAACTGTCCCCTTGTCTGAGTATGTCTACTTACCGTCGGCTGCGAGCTCAACTTCTCCAACCACTGGCGACTAGCGGGCGAGTTGAGCACCAGTTTATGTTGCGTAATAACTAGCAGCGCGGCTAGATCCGCCAGGCTGGGTCGTGAGGTGCCCGCAAGGAAGGCCGGACTGGCCCGCTCGAGGCGTTGCTCGTAGTAGGACTGCCAGGCCTTCAGGAGGCGCGTGTCACCCTTTTGTTGTTGATGCGGCGGCGGCAGAAGTCGGAGGGACCAGGCCACCAGTTGTTTCACATCAGCACGCACTGCGGCCTTTAAAGAATAAACATGCTCGGAAGAGAGGCTGCAAGGAGATGCGGAGAAATGTGGCCAGGAAGTAGCGAGGTGCCTATACTTATCAGAGAGCTGAGCTCCAGACCACCCCCCGACCTCCAACAAAGGCATCTTTTTATAGCACTTCTGGAAGGACCTCCTGGCGACATCCACTGAACACACTTAAATGGGTGGCTGGTTAAGGGTAGTGTTTGTCCACCCGACGTTAGTGGTCCAACTGAGCCTCCCGCAACTACTTGCACGTGCACACCAATTGCAGTCTGGTTCTCGGCTGCTGCCAGCGGTTCAAACTGGCCAATCATTTGCGGGGCTGACTCAGACATGGCCTCGCTGAAAGCGCTGGACAAGTGCTCCACTGTCTGGGCGTTGCTCTAGCGGCTCCGAACATGCCCTCGTCCGACTGTCAACTTCTACCAACTTCTTCTCTAATAGTTCTGTACGACATACAACATTTCCCCAATTGGCGTCCCCCTTCCTCTCCTTCTGTTCGGAACTGGATTTGATTGTCATAGTGGGTAGAATCTCATAATGGATTTAGCTTCCGCGATATCACACCATGCGGATGCCAGAAGTTTGGCCACAGGGTCCTTTGCTCAGCATTTTTGTGTGCTTTTCAGTGCGTGTGTGTACCTGCTACACAGTGCCCCCAAAACGGGCCACATGTTAGATGCGCTGGACCAGCACAGGGGGCCACATCGGATTCTGGCAATAACAAATGTCAACATTTACAGGGTGCGCTGGCAGACCCTGTTGTCGACAGTCGTCGCACAACTGGACCACTGTCAACACCCCATTGTCTTGCGAGTTAAAATCCTGGCCATTTGTTGAGAGGACCAGGGGGTGCGGAGTGGAGCACCAGGGTGAGGATCCGTCCAAGTCATCCACCCGCGGCCTCCCTCGTCTCCGGTCTTCTTGACTCTGTCTTGACACCGGACTCAGGCGGCGGCGGCGGAGAGAGTGTGGTAGATGCAGCGCAAGTCTACTGGCACTATAAACCCACTGGGCAAGTCATCGTCCCTGCTCCCACCACCTGTTGTGGGGCACACGGTGAACATCGTCGGATGCGACGGTCGAACTACCTCACATATAAGAGTTAATTACACTCCCAGAAAATAATTTGGTGCACGTATGGCGGAAGCGCGTTCATTGGTTGGGATAGGGGACACGCTCGTTGCGTCGCGTCCTCGGACTTAATACAAAGCTCCTGCAGACAGTCGCACAGAGAGATAGGGAGGGCCGACAGAGACATGGGGGAGGACTTGGCTGACCATTTTTGTCCAGCACACACTTACATCATTACCACCGAGAAGGTGAATATCACTCAGTGACTCGGCCTGAGCCTGCAAGTCGAAGAGCTGTTGCTTTTCGAGGCCTGCGCAGTTGTCTCCGGAGGATGGCTGGTTCTTGCCTGAAGTAGCAAAACAACCAACCAGTCGGAGAAGGGGATGTTGTTCTTCTTCACACCTGGCTCCCTCAGTGCCAGCGTCTAGAGTCCTCAAGCTCTCCGCAACCTCGATAAGGCCAGTAACTTCAAGTTCCATCGTATGGAGCTAGGAAGAAGTGTAAAAGGACAGTGGATAAATACGTTGAAAACAGAGCATGTGGATGATGAAAGAGTGTTTGGGTGGAACTTTAAGCAATTTCCCCTAACTGGCACCTGGTACATAATGTGCGTCGGACGATTAGCGAATTATGTCTTAACGTCGAGACCCAAAGTAGTGATATCTGCCTGATACGAAAATGTTAAGGAAAACCGGTTAATGGACGTGAATGTCCTAGCCTCCGGTTATATATACAGTGTATTTTTTCAGGGTAATAGGCAATGCTCTTGATGACTCAATTGAAAATTGTGCATACAATACATATGTTAAATGCACATCTTACTGACATTTTGTCAGTAACATATTGGTTTACGGTAAACGCTTTTACAGAGCGGGATGCGAAGGGTGCGGGAGGCGGTCATTTTAATGTACATATGAAATTTTAAGTGCCACTTCTCGCCACTTTATCGGGATGACGTGGGCCATGGAAACAAATTTGCTAAAAGTCAGCACACGTCCCAACTCATTGCAGCCTGACCCTCTGTCCTGAAAGGAGGGCCGAGATTTCCCGTGAGTCGGCATCCTTCCAAGCCATGGCTTTTCACGCTCCGTGGCAAATCCAAGAACGTCAGATTATTCCTAGTGTGGACTGTGTACAGAGAAAGGCGATCCCATAGGCGGGATTGGGCGCAGTCGTTGGAAGAGCCGGAAAACAGCCCATCTGCGCGAGCCACACACGCACGACCTGACCCCACAAAAGGGGGGAGGGGGGGGGGCAGATCAGGTTTCACGTGCGTGAGTGCCATTGACGCCACACTAAGACGGAGCTATTGAGTTTGACCCTCCATCCACCAGTCGGCCACTTCAAACACAAATATGGACAGGGCTGACTGCGAGGTCACGGTTGAATCGTCAGTTAGAAATCTTCCAAGGCATGGCTTTTAGCGCACCATGATAGAATAAAGGCGCATGATATGATTTACGGTAACTAATATGCCCTCTGGGCATATTACCCCACTCCAGTGTCCAAGCCGGTCAACCATCTGTAATAGTGTATTTTAGGGTAGTAGGCAATGCCCTTGATGACCCTACTGAAAACGGTACATACAATAGAACTGTTAAATGCACATCTTACTAAACGTTTGTCAGTAACATGTTTGTTTACGGAAAAAAGGATGGAATCAAGATGCTGGTGTTGGGCGCAGTGACCAACAGAACCAAAAACATTCCCTTTGCGCGTGCCACACACGCGACACGACAACACGAGGATTGCACGCAGAGAGCGAGTGTTGCATTAGTGACGGGGCCACATAAATGAGCCAATGAGCACGATTCCTGCCTTCCTGAGATGTGCCGATCCCATACTTATGGTGGGTAATGCGGGATGTATGTGCTAGTGAGGGGAAGTGTTGTGATAGGGGTTTGACCGGCGGTGTTTTACCGCAGGTTACCGCAGTAGTAGTAGTAGTAATAGTAGTAGTAGTAGTAGTAGTAGTAGTAGTAGTAGTAGTAGTAGTAGTAGTAGTAGTAGTAGTAGTAGTAGTAGTAGTAGTAGTAGTAGTAGTAGTAGTAGTAGTAGTAGTAGTAGTAGTAGTAGTAGTAGTAGTAACAGCAGCAGCCGCAATACAACTAGTATGGGAAAAGGAAATCAAGTAACGATATATCGACCGACACAAAAAGACGTGACGTTTCTACACGAATATATTTCCTTTACTACGCTTTCCTGCGAGTAAGAAATTAGGAATCTCTCTCTCTCTCCCTCCCTCTCATTCCTAAGACATAAAAGCCCCTTCATGAATGGAACATCTAAAAACATTGATACCAAGATTTTTATTTCAGCAATCTGGCTCAGTCGTCCATCGGGTGCCAGAATATGGCGTGATGATACGAACCATCATCTTCCGTTCTCGATGGCAAACGGCCGTGGTAGAAAGAAGGAAACAAGGATCCAAATCTTCACAGTAACAACTCCACGTCCCAAAGGTATCTGCTGGATATTTTCGTCTTTTCAGCTAGCAGCCATTGAGTCGGTGCAGATGTCGGTTTAGCATGCAATTAGATTAAAAAACAGATTCGCTCCCCAGTGCATGCAAACGGCATCCAACGGGACAAGTGAAGCTAAGAAAAAACCTACCTTTGCGGCATCTGCTGCTTGTTTCGCTTGTGGCACCTTGACGGTGTACTCGGGTCGCGAGCGCACCTTTTGCAGAGCCTCTATCGACTTCCTCAACTGAGCCACTCGCTGTTCTGTACGTTCGACCTCAGCCTTGGCGTTGATGAGACCAGCTAATCTAAGGTAGAGTTGGCAGGTGGGTATGACCAGAGGAAGTGCAGCGCCGGGTGTCGCCGCCGCCGCCGCCGCCTCCTCCTCTTCGTCCTCCGCGGCCATCGCCTGCTCCTCGCCCTGTTCGTTCTCCCCAGTGGCCTCCGTAGCTGGCTGCTCCTCCACACAGGCGTCGGTCGCCGAAACGGTGGCCATTATGCAACCCGTGGTATTCGCTATGTCAAAGGTAAGAGGTGGGCAGGGGGTTGTACTCTAGTTGAGCACTCAACACGTATATATGGTGTGTAGGAGTGTCCTTTTCTGGCATTATCCCCGAGTTTCACTCCCTCTTGTCACAAAAATATTTCCCAAAACGCATATATTACTGTCAACATCATAGTAACAAATTTATTTTAAATTGGACAGCGTGTGCCGTATCTAGTAGGGTCTTCGACCAAACAAATGCAGGGTCACGTGTCACCTTGCTGGGTCTAATGGTCTGTAAGCGTCTGCTAGGCCAGGATCAGCAAACCATGGTCCTCGCAACCTGGTATGCGCAGACAGTTGTCTGACACCTGGTTCCCTGCCGGTAGATGCGCTAATGCCCCAGCATGGTATACAGATCGTGACCATGGTTGCCGAGTCATCCTCGTCTTTCTGACTGCTCGCGGTGCTTTAATTGGTTGAAATCCTGTGGACCAGAGGCTTCGGAGTGGGACGCCAAGTTGCGGGCTCGGCCGCGCTATCCCGTCTCCGGTCTTCTTGACTCTGTCTGGACATGGAGCCCAGATGGGGGAGGGGTGTGCGGTAGACGCTGCGCAAGTCACTGTGGGTGCTTCACTTCGCTGTGGAGCACACGGTGGGCATCGTCGGCAACGGTGGTAGAACTGTCAAGTAATGCGCTAATACTCATTACCATCAGTACTACGGTATACATGCCTTGTTTCCCTTATTAGTTTCTGGTTCCTCACGAAAGGCTTGCACACACTATGGCTTTCAAACAGGCATGGCATTCAGCTAATCCATTCGTCAGGGGAGACGGATTAAATTAGTACTTTGAGAGACTTTTCTTTTACGGGCTTTACTGCCAACGGTAAACCAGGCCAAACACTCACAGCTGCGGAAATCGTACAATTGGACTGGCTCGGAGGACCTGAAACACGAGTTCACATAAGTCATTTTGTGGAGATCTTGACGTGTAAAAGTGGAATGCGCCCGAACTACAGCCGAATCGGGCAGCCTAAATGACAATAATAGTGGGGACACGAGATACGGAGGTACAACTCGTTATCATGCCAACAACTGTTTAAAAGGTCCAATAGCTGAGGTCCACTACCCTGTCTAATCTATAATGAGTCTAGTCCACATGACATGTCCTCCATCACTGTTCCACATTCAAGAGGAGGACGGAAGCAATACCGTCCTGTGTAGTCAAATCACAGCTGCCAAGCATGACGTCGAGCATGGACTATTTCCACTTTTCTGTACCGTTAGCAGTCGCGCAGGCGAGAAGGAACGAACAAGCATGGATGGCGAACTAAGATCGGAAACGGCGTTTGGAATTCCACAAGTCTGCACGTCAGGCTCTTCAGTCTCACTATCAGACTGTGGACCGTCCTCCAGACTGGTCACGCCAACTGCGTGATGGAAACAGACTCGTTTATTGAAGTGCTCACTGAGCACGAACTCTTGCACAATTGAGATAGTTCTGAACCGAAAAGTTACGGCTACGCTAGTCTCCTCACTTACCGAGGGACTTGTCAGTAGTTACATCCGTGAGTCGGCATTTGCCCAGCGCCTCCACGATATCCACGAGGAATCTTCCTGCACGTAGACCCTTCAGCGTGCTCTCTGGGGCGACAAGAACGGCCTCTGGAAGTGTGGTCGTCTTCCCGAGGTTGTAGGTGGCGTAGAGGGAGCGCAGACGGTGCACAAGACTGAAGGCCAAACGAAAACTGATTGTGACCGCGGGGTCTTCCTGCCAGCCTGCAATCTGCAAGTGAACACAAAGATTGGCATGATGGGGAGGAGATTCCCTAGAGCAAACTGTCGTTAGCGGATCTGAAAACACGGTTAAGAATGTGATGGTTGCTTCTGGCTGACCTGCCTGTCAATCATACCCCATAACGCCCCAGACAGGCCTAAGTCCTGCTATGTGAAGACAGGGCGACTGATCAACACGCATCCGGCTACGATTGGCTACTCTGAATAATTAAGCTATAAACGGTCATTGCCCTCTTCCTATCTCCTTCCTATTATAAAGAGTACTACGCAGCAACGATAGCACGCTTCTGTTTCCAATTTGCACTTTTTTTGAAAGCCTCGTATTCTGAAGTCCCTGCTTACTATGGTACTGTATCTCCGACACTCCCGGAACGTGAATGTCCGCGTTAATAGCCGAAATCAGACTACCTACCTCATCGACATCGGGATAAGGAGCCACGCATATGGATGGAGGATCGTTGGGAGGGTCGCGTCGAGGTAGGCGTTGGTAGAGCTCCTCCGTAACGAAGGGCATGAAGGGATGCAGCATTCGAAGACCCAGATCAAGACATGTGTAAACAACATGCCTCACTACCTCCGCGCGCTTCTGAGCATCAGGAGAACAGCCAGGCTCCAGCTTGACAAGTGGTTTTGAATACTCCTGGAAATCGACAAATAAATATATGCGACATGACTACTGTGCAGTTGTCAGTAGCGTCATCGATTTATCCATTTCGTGAAAGTGGGACAACTTGCCAGATAGACATCGCAAAACTCATAGAGCCAGAAGTTGAAACAGGCGGTCGTGGCACGAGGGAATTGGTATTCCTTGAAACCAGCGTTGCACTCTCGGACGGCATGTGCCAGGCAGGAGAGGATCCACTGGTCGGTTCCAGATAGGTTATGCTCGCTACTCGAAGGGAACGACAGTGAGGCGGTCGACCGGGGCGGTTTGTAATCCGACTGAAGACAGTGGTAAATGGCATAGCTGAGCGGTAAAAGGAAAAAAAGCATTTAAATGCAGGTCTCGCCAACACTCCACATGGTAAAACCGAACACGAAGAAGCAATCCTACTTTCGCATAAAAATATGCTTCAAAATCGGAACAGAATGCAACGATCTAGATGATTGAAATCGGCAAGTTTGCGCGACGCACAAACTAATAACTATAGGCACTTTTTATTTGCCTTTCTTAAAGTGATCCCTTACAAAGTTCTTATAGACATATTCCCTCGAAGGTACGTAGGAGTGCTGACTGGATCGAATGCAGGACCGAAGATGTTTTTAGTACAGTTCAGTATATCTAAGGGGAGTGATTTATGAAATATTTAGGCTAACACAAACATGTTACTGTGATGTCACTAAAGTAAAAGCCTTAAAAATATTGCGATGATATGGGACTGAATCCCGGACATCGCCAGGCGTCGAAGATAATGTGAAATAAAGAATGATGGCCGTCCGCGCTAGTGCTAGGTGCAAAGCGTTGGTTTGGTGCAACAGAGCTGTCCTGCACAGCTGAAGGGTATTTTTCAAGCAAATAATACATCCAGTTTATGCTTAAATGTCTCCGCTGAGTCTGCCATTATCCCCTCCCAAGGAAGCCCGTTCCAGACACCCAAAACTCGCTGCCAAAACAAGTATCCACGAACATCCGGATAGGATAAGCTTCCTCGAGGGTTAAGGCTAGTTGCTGTGACTAGCGTGAAAAAATCATCGAGATGCAAGGCACAGTACCGACAGGTCTGTACGAGATCTCGGATCTGTGTGTACTCAGGCGGAACTTGTATGTCTTAAGGCACCTCACTATTTCAGTCACCCTCCTTTGAACCCATTCCAACAGCTGCCATCTTCTTTTCAGCCAGGGGTGCCACGCCTAGATTACCTATTCCGGTTGCGAACGAATAAAGGCTCAGTATACTTTTCCAAATAGCTCATTATCAATATCTAAAAAAGTTCCTTCAATGGCGAGAACTGTCCTTGCCCTTTTGGCCACCTCCGCAGTGAGAGGTGGGCTCCAGAGATTACGAATGGTAATTCTGAAGTCTTTTTTGGTCCAGCTGCATTTGATAGGTACCTTCCGTCAAGGAAGTATTGATGAGCATCTCCATGTGTCCTCTCCTTCCTCGTTTTGAGCCGCAGTGAGACATCTCTCAAGGTTAAATCTCAGCAAGCACTTATCGGACCTTTCACATAGGCGGTTAAGCTGTAGTGATTATGCGGTGCGAGTGTGTGTTCTGTACTCAGTGCGCTTCTATCGTCTGGTCAGATCCCAAGTTGTAGGGAGAAGACGGAAGGCACCATAATGAGGGGTTTATTGTGCACAGAACCCGGAGTTGTCCTCTCAGGCGGCAGTGGCCACCGGCGAAGCCAGGGCTGGTGTTGACTGCGTCCAGTCATGCCTGAGAGTCCCTGAGATAGTGGTGGCAGCCGCTTTTGTAGGCTCTTGGGCCAAGCTCAAGTGGTGTCCAGTCGGTGTGTGTTGCATTTACCGAGAGGTGGTGTCCCAGTGGCCTAGGTTGTGGTTGCAAGGGGGCAGATGCATTCAAGTGGCCGCATGGGCAACTGCGGATGTGCGGTCGCAGGTGTGCCCGAGCTGTCGGTCGTGTGACTTCAGGTCAGCGTGTCTGGAACGGCTCACTGCCAAAGGGTGAATGACCTTGAGGCAGCGAGATCTTAAACAATGACGCCAGACCGGTCATGGAGGCTGGCCGCCACAAAGCCCCTCTTGCAGAGTCCGTTAGTCATTACTGCAGTTGATCGCTCGCCATACTTTGATCTCATCTGCAAGCACGGCCCCCCCCCGCAGTCAAATCGATTCATGCAGTCACTGACATAAATTAAAAACAGTGATAGTCCAAACATAAATCCCCGAGGCACTCCACTCACAACCGAAACTGGTATTGATTTCGCATTGCCAAGGCCCACAGACTGGGAACAGCCAACCAAGAAGTAGCTTCCCTCTTGTCTCAGATAACCGCACCTTGTTGAGTAACCAGCGCTGCGGAAAACTGTCAAAGATCCTCCTAGGGTCAATGTAAACGACGTCGACTGTCGTGTCTTCATCCAACGAGAGGGACCACTGCTCCATCGAACAGGCGTAGTTTCGTCAACAGCCATGTTGGACAGCGTCAACGTATCCCTTTCTTCGAGAAACTTGATAATAACTTTTTTTTAACGATCCTTCGCACAACCTTGCAACAAATGTATGTCAGGCTCACAAGCCAATAGTTGTCAGCACTTGTTCTGTGCCCACCCTTATGAACGGGGTGCATATTTACCGACCATTCAATCAAAGGGGAAGACTGCTGAGGTCAGAGGACGACTGAAAAAAGAAAATGTGAAAGCGGTATAGAGTTCGCGGGGAAACTCCTTCCGAACGTTTGCCGGCATTTGGTCCGGGCGCGGAGATACGTATTCCTTAAGCGCAAGAAGTTCCTTACTCACATTACTGTGTCATTTGTTGCAGTAGGAAAGTTAGCCTGATCAGTCCGTTTTTATCGATGAAAACATATGCAAAAAACGGCCTACGTGTTCTGCCTTATCATTATTTCCGATAACGTCCTCGGTGTTTTCTCCTCTCACCACTGCAACCGTCTTTTTGTACTTTGGTTTATCTACGGTCCGTTCTATAGTTCGTGTTACGTACTCCTTCCGCGGTCTACGGACATTTGAATCTGCCTCGTTCCGATATCGGTAAAACTCTTCGTAATGCAAGAGTTGTTTTGTTGCTACATACCTTTTCCAAAGTCTGCTTTTTCTGTTTAAGTCTCTCTTTATACGTCAGGTCAGCCAGACAGAACGACTTGTGTTTCGGCTTACTTCACAAAACAAAACGGAAGGTCCAAATACCGTCCTGAAGCCCCGTCAGATCAGTGATCACTAATCCCATGAGGCACCAAAGATTCGCAATCGCGGTACACGCAGGAAGGGCACCGTGACTGCACCAACAGAACTTTACTTTTAATAATCACCTGGACCCGATCCGTAGGGCTTCAGTTTTGGGGAAGGCAAAAAACGCCGAATGATCATTCTTGTTGGCAAAGTATATCCAAACGAGTTCTGGACTACTTTTTCTAGGAAACAGACACCGGTACGGGAAACGGCAACTCACCGGACCGCATTCCACAGCTTGTTACAGAAAAAGCGGTAGCCCTGGACTCGTAGAATATTGAGGTTTATGCTCCACCCACGAGTTCTGTAAGAACAGAGGGCAAAACGCAGAGCGTCTGTTCCGCACTCCGGAATCCCCTTTGGATAGTCCTTAGCCTGAGCCGCAGTGGCACGTGTCAGCTCCGCGGGATCCAGGTTACCCACAAGCAACTTGGCCTGCAGATCTATTTAGACAGAACAGTGGGATTTAAGAATCTACTCATGAAATGACATGAGGAGCAATGATGCCCAAAATGTGCAGAATAATCAGAGGTTTTGCTTTTTAGTAGTGGAAGAAGGTTGAAGGAAGGGAGATGAGATGAGATTTAGGAAAATGGAAGAAGCAGCCTGGGGAAGTAGAAAACTGCAGCACATCATCTCCGTTTGCCTTGTCACGAGAGCTACAAGATTGTATAATGCATAGAAAGCTCGATAAGGTACCAACACGCCAGACGCAGACGTCTGTCTCGCGGTCATAACCGATTGTCAGTACGCCATGGGCCTGGCCTGTGCTTTCCAAAAGGAGTAAGCGCGCGACCCTCACTTGTTGTGACTGGAGTCTTGCTCGATTCCATTCTGTCCGCTGAGGTGCTGGCGATAACGAATGCTGCGTGAGGATATATGATGTTAACCACAGCAAGCGAGTCACGCGCGAACTGTTTTGACAAGTTATATATCTCAGTCCGGAAGGTACAAGACAGGCCTTCGAGGTACTACAGATTGGCAATGACCGTGAAACGGCTGTCTGGACATTTCGTTATCCCTAGCCTTTCTGATTAATATGTTTCAGCAAGTGCATTCGTTTTACGTCCCTAGGTAAAACATTCAGCTGCAGACCTCCAAAGATATTTTTCGCAAAGATCAATTGCATTCTAGGAGGTATATTGACTCCAGTATGCAAAGGGTTACTTTTCCTGGCTACTGTCAATAGTACTACACGTAGCCCAATTCGAATTGCCTACTTCCGTTCTACGCAATAGAAATCCGTCTACGGTGTCCTCATAGGCTTCTGAGTCCTTGAACTGACACAAGGATCGAGGGTATGGACGACACTCGTCAAACATGTGAAAAAAACGTAGGTTGCTGTTCGATTGCCTGGAAGCTGATGCAGGCTACGTGTTGAGCAGTCAAGACTGCTAATGTTAAAGTGCTGGTGTTTGATGGTCCAACAGTTGAGTGCAATCTTCTGCGCGTCCTCAGGACTAAGTAACCAACAGGGCAGATCCTACAAAGTCAATTCAACTTTTTTACTGTCAGTAGAATGTATAGACAACACCACAAGTGACAGGCGTTGGTGTGTGTCGCGTGAAACTCGCCCATATGCCAGTCGCTGTAAATCATGCGAGGTGTGATAGACACGGCCCCTTGACAAATGTCAACCATTAATGGTGAAATAGATTCAGATCACAAGATCCATTAAAAATAGTGGAAACAGACCGAGTTCAGAATAGCTACTGATGAGAAGTTCGTCTTAGAGGGGTGAGTGTGATGCCTGAAACTAGTCCTAGTTCAGTGGACTTTTGCATTGTCGATTCAGATCCAGCGAAGGCGCAATAGACAGGATTTTATGAGGCAAAAAGTGCAGTGATGAAGTCGTATGTGAGAGTACAGACACATTGTGGGGAAGTTAATTGTTACGAGTGCCAGAGCGCACCAGTCGCATGTACCCAATCCAGTCAAGGAATAAATTGGCTTAATATGTGCTATTTAAATCACTTCAGTAGCACGATTATCACCAAGAACATTGGCTCGGGTGACATGTAAGTGAAGATTACTCACCGGGTAAACTAATTCCTTTAATTACGTCCACCGGATCGATAGCATTGCCCAATGACTTGCTCATCTTTTTCCCGTGAGCGTCGCGAATCATTGCGTGAAGATAGACTTCGGTGAAGGGCAGGCGGTCGGTGAAAAAGAGCCCGCACATCACCATTCGGGCTACCCAAAAGAAGAGGATGTCGTGCCCCGTCTCCAACAGACTTCCTGGATAGAAGGTGCGAAAGTCCGCACATTCGGTGTCTGGCCAGCCGAAAACGGACATGGGGAAAAGCTGAGAGGAGAACCAGGTGTCCAGGACGTCCTCGTCTTGCATGAGGCGAATGTCATCAACCGGGCGTTTGAAACGCTCCGCAGCAATGGCAAGTGCCTCTTTTTCATCCCGCGCAACCACCCAGGAATCATTTTCTGCCGACTGTAAGGACAATTAAGATAAGCAAAGAGTTAAGCGACTGCACCGATGGTGTGAACGAAATAGTACTGCTAGAAGTATTAACACATCCTCTCCAAAATCTCAAAGGGAATGAGATCATAAACTGTTCATCTCATGTACTACCCAACAAAAGTTAGGTCTTTTTACTTGTGATCATGCAAGACGATGACAGGAACCCCGGAATTTCACGAAGTGGTGTTTGAGCGTTGTATTCATGGTTCAGGTTAGTACATCTACCCCGACAAAATTAATGGTATGCGACCGTTTCTAAGTGATGAACAGTTGTTCACCCTGATCAACGTGAACCAGACATAAAGGTCGAACTCTACGCAGACGGGCTGAGATGTGTAAAAGTGCGAAACTAACCACAGAAGGTAAAGTACATCTGTTCTTTTAAGGCCCAGGCTTCATTTGATCGTAAGGTTATGTGAAGTTACAGGCATGAGAAACGTAGCCGTGGTGCTCGTTAAACTAAGCAGAACACTGAAGGTAATCCAATAGAGACGCCTCACTGGTAAGACTGCGGTTGACAAGGATAACATCTGACTAGTTAAATGTTTCAGGCTGGCACTCGCGTCATCAACCCAACGGTTCTACAAACAAACACACTTTTATGACCAGGAAAAATCTCCCCGCATGTTATAATTATGGGCTAGAGCCAAAACCACCGAGTGAAATCTGGCAATCGCTCCCGAAAATAACAGTGCGTAAGTCCTACTCTGCAAATGAATTACCTCTAGGACGGTGAAGTCTCCATCCGAAGAGCGCAGAGCAACCTGATAGGCAGGCACCCGGTGACCCCACCAGAGCTGACGTGAGATACACCAGTCATGGCAGTCCCGTAGCCAGTTATTCCAGGTCCGTACGTACATGCGAGGCATAATCTTCAGATTGCCATCTGCAACCTGTGAGAGAGATAGAGATAAATAGGGCAAAATTATGGCAGAAAAAAACGGCGTATGCGGTAAAAGCAGTAGGAACAGGAGGCTGTCATAATCCCCAGTGATCGTGAATTCAAACTTCGACGCCTGCAAAAAAAGACGGGGACGTCGTGTGTACGAGAGGACTACCCTGGAACATGTAGAGCACTTCAACATTGTCGTGGGCAATTTTGTCTACGGCCGACGAAGGAGCAGTCATGATCTCTAAAGTTAGCAAAGCTGGACTATGGTCTTCTTTGCCAAACAACTAAGACGTCCATTTCGACATAGTGCTGAAGGCGTTAGAACGAGATGACATACAACTATCGCGCAACAGGTCCTGTCGACTCTGAAAGTGTCTGCGGTGTTGCCAAAAGGTCCAGCAGGGGAGAAAGACTCTTGCTCTGCAGCCGCAAAACTTGCGACTCTACACACTCCTGACCCGAAGAAGATCGAGGAGTTTGACAATTGTTGTCCCCTGGGACTCCTATGGCTTCAGTTCAAGGTCCATCTCCAGAAACGAAACTTGCTTGTCAGTCAGAGACACCCTAGCGGACGCCGCCATCGAAAACGTTTCGGTCAGGTACCCAAAGGGAACGCTGTGGCCAATTAAATGATAGCAGGAATGGTCAAAGTCAGACTCTGAAGTAGAATATGCTCGATGATCTTCAGTGTTCGGAAGCAGAAAAAAGGGATGTACAATGACTGCCAAGGGTCGAGTCGACAACTGCGTGATATGGGTCAGAGTGATTTGCGACCCTCTTAGCAGTTGGCTCGGACAAACCAGCACTGTTGACAGCCGATAGGAATGCAATTAACCTTCGAGGCAACCACATGTACGGCGAGGTCTCAACTAGGGCTCAGACTTCGTGGGCTACATTGCCACTGTTTAAGGCTGAATCCCAAATTCTGCAAGGATTCTGGACTCCAATTCGTTGTTTGAAACAAAGTCCAAATGACTCTGGCGAGTGAATTAAAAGGAGAGAACATGATGCCCTTAACTTGCCTCTTTGATGGCCCTGTTTGCCAGCTCCTGACAACGAACATACCACTGAGGCTTCAGCAGCGGTTCGATGACGTCCTTGGTGCGACTGCAGATAGGCACGAACATTGGATTTTCCACTTCGCCACGGAAGAGACCCTTCTCCTCCAATGCCTTTCTGATGGCCCAGCGAGCTTCGAAACGCTTCATTCCTAAGAGGTGAGTGAGAAGTAGGGGAGGAACGGAGAGGTACAGGCTGCTATCGTAACCAACTTCGGCGTAATGAGGTGCGCATGCCTATGGTCTGGAATGCCGAAAAGTATTACCGATAGGAGGTAGAATAGTCATTTCCGACTTATATTTCGTTGTCAGGCAATCAGATATCGGGAAGGCCCGGGGTCCGAAGCCGGGCTCTCTTACTACTGGGCCGGCCATGAGCTCAGACGTACAGTTACTTAAGTAGTAGAGATCATCCTATGGTACTGGAGCCTACCGATTTATCCTGGAGGGCAGGTGTTCAGGTTACCCATGGGACTGTAGGACAGGGACGCACGCAGGCTGCGACGAGCAACCAACAATCCAGAGGTATTGCCATTTCTAGTTATATTCCATTGTTTTAAACGGCCTCGACCTTGGAGTTTCCGTCATATTAATGTCAGTTATTACCACAACCTCCACTCCTTATGAACCTAACTTCAGGAAGTAGGAAGCTTTAGAAAATCAGGATGATCGACGTCCTCGTGAAATGCGTAAGAACTTGAGGATCAGCGCGGTTTACAATTAGACTGATCTGTGTCGACCAAATGGTTTGCCAGGGGGAACAACTTACCCGCAAAAGGCCCCGCCTCCTTGGTCATACAGCCGTTTTCATCGATTACTGTTACGAAGGGCAAGTTGTGTCGCAGACCCACCTCGTAATCGGTATGGTCGTGCGCAGGTGTCAGTTTCACTGCGCCAGTGCCGAACTCCCGATCGACGAAAGTGTCTCCGACAATGGGCATGCGACGTTCGGGAATGAAGGGGTGCTGCACAAACCGACCAATCAGATGGGAATACCGAGGGTCCTCTGGATGGACAGCCACACCTGTGTCACCGACCATGGTTTCAAGACGCGTGGTTGCCACAACCAGCTCCTCGCCATTCGGACTGTCTGTTGGCAGAAGTAAATTATACATGTGTTCAAAACGTATTAGTAACTATCCTTTAAAAACATCGAAAAGGCAATATTTACGGAGGGCACGCCTGACCTCCAAAATGGGCGGTATATACTTGCGCCAAACCCCAACGGGAAATAAACGCAGTTACTGAGGCGACACCCTTCACCGGCCGTCTTGAGCTGCTCATCTGAGTGGAACATAATAGAAGTATGAGACTGTGTACAGCGAGTTTTTCTCGAGACCGATTAGCCGTCGTCTCGAATGCCCCGTTACAAGAGACGGTTATACAAATCTGTCTCCGTCTCTAACTCAGTCCTCATCTGTGGCCGCAGATATGTGCTCCACGCAGTGGCTACTCTCCGGTAACCGGTGCGTCATGTAGACCATCCCCTATGGCGGGAAGAGACTGGCTGTCTTAGACATATGGGAACGAGGGCCATATGCCATGTCAATAATGAGTCCTATTTACTTGCCAGTCATTTTTACGCAAGCTCGCAACTGTATCATGAGGGAGGAGGTAAGAATAAGACGGATCAGCGGTACTGCTATTTCATCGGCTCAACTTTGCTTTCGGGCTCTGCCGTCGGCCGACTGCAATGAGGACCATAGTTTCGGAACCTACCGACCATTGCAGGCGTCGTATTAGTGTTCGTCACAACGCCGGACTCGTGGGGAGCTGCAGCATGTAGCGGGGACCCACAATGGTGTCCAGCTGTTATGACAGTCAAGAAGACTCACACGCATACGGGCGTTTCCTTTGAATGTCACAACTACCTCTAGAGTACACGCCAATCTCCTTGCGCTCGGAAATTGTATAGAATGTAGTCGTTACTGGGTGGTGTAATTGCGGAGACAAACATCGGCAAATCCGGCCAGACTTATTCAAATTCGAAATTACATCAGACCTTAGCGCGAAGGGTGACACGTGACGCAACCTCCCCAGCATGAGACCAGATTTTTGCTTTTATTCCTTACAATAAAATCTCTATCTAGTCACCATATTAGTACTCGGCTACCGTCAAAGATGTAGTGAAAAAATCACAAAATCCTGCAAGATATATTCTGTGAAAGAGGGTTTTGGCGCTTGATTCGTTTTTTGATCTGTTAACTGCTCCTAAGCTGAATACTGCCAAATCCATCGCTTAACCTCGAGGATTGGCTGACGGTGAGCTACCGCGAAAAATGGAGCTGAAGCCTTCGAAATCAACCGCATACACAATGTCAAAGAGAGGTTACACGCGCACAAAACTATAGTGCTGAAGAACCACACTTCCAGCACTTAAGCCGACCCGATGTGTCCTCGTCGACAAAACACAATAAGAGTTAGCGTCAGTCTCATGGGTCACCTTCGCGACAAAATCGGCGACAGCAGTTGTGACACTATGTCGAAGAACACTGCTCACGCCTTTCCAACCAGAGTCGCCATGAGACTCCTGACCACGGTACTCAATCTGACCACACCAGTTCGCCTACCGCTATGGCCTTTCTGGCTCCAACATGAGGCGAAGTGAATGAGATGTTTGATGTAGCAGCAGGGACGGCAGAACCTGGGTACACACATACTCCATTTACCCCGCTTCGCTGTCTACCACAACTCCACTCCAAGGCCTGTGATGTCCGCTGGAGATCCAACTGTCAGATGCTTCCACAAATGTCTGTTACGATGGTCCTCCACATAAACCATAAGGATGACCCCGTGGTAACGACCGTCGCCGACTACGATGAAGGAGTGAATACAGATCTCGCAACTGGCGGAGGGGTCCTTGTCTGTTAAGATGGGCATAGCATCTCTTTTATATGTACATCAATCATGTGGTTACGTGAAAATACCGGCGAACTGACCGACAAGTGGGTAGGCAAATGATGAAAGGATGCCGAAAATGACAGGCTTGGGGTAGCCGGGCACAGAAATGGCCGTGCGCCCAGTCAGTTCTCGCTTCTCCACCTCGATTTCAGAGATGGCGGACTGGAGGGTGCAGCACCAGTTGACGAGACGCACGCCACGGTAGATGAGACCGTGTTCGTACATACGCACAAAGGCCTCGGTGACGGCATGTGAGAGTTTAGGGTTCATAGTAAAGGCTGCACGGGACCAATCACAGGAGCTGCCCAATGACTTCAGTTGATGGTAGATGTTCCCACCTTTCCTATAAAAGTCAGGAGGGAGAAAGGGAAGAGAAACAATAGAGTTGGGTATCCAAACAAAGCAGCACCAATTTCTAGGAGACAATAGCCGAAAAATCGTCTGCTGAAAAAGCTTTAACATTTTTAATGAACAGCAAGCATGATTTCCGCACAACCCCAGCGGGAATCGGCCTTATTGGACCTCCACAACAGCAGCCGTCTGAACTGACAGACACAGTAAGTCAAAGCACTTTGTGCGTGGGGTTGGAAAAACAATGGTGTTAAATGGCCTACGAGGAAATTAATGGACTTCTTACATAGGTGATCTTCAAGAAAAAGTTAGTAAATGTGCAGTACAAACTTACTCTTCTTTCCACTTCCAAACCTCCTGCAAAAAGGCCTCGCGACCAATATCGTGCCTTGTGACCTGCCGTTCGCGCCATAGTCTCTTCTCAACGACTACCTTCAGGGTTAGAAGTCAAAACAACGATGAGAGAAGCCATGAGATAAACCTGAAAAGGCGCGGGAACAAGGTCTAACTGGACAAGACATTCCGAAAAAGTCAAGCGCTCGTTAGTTTTTCTTTGGGCAAACGGGAGTTTCCGATGTCAGAGTAATAGGCCGGATATTGCTGTTTAAGCATGAGAACGGCGGTTGATGATAGGTTTTCGAAACTGGGACTGTGAATCAAAGCACACGGTGTGTTGACGACTTAATTAGTCAGCGCTCATTCAGCAGTTCCAACAGCCTCCCTTGAAAACCATTTATCAATGATAGTAAACAGACGAGAAGTTGACAGGGAGGAGGGCTGGGAAGGAAGCGAAAATTGGCGAGCATTCTGTCAGGCACAGGGGAAAAATCTGGCGCAGACAAAACGCTTCAATTCTCGACTTAAACAATTTGGAATGGAATCCATCTGGGTCTCTTTCCGCCCGCCGTACTCATTTAAGTTCTATGTCTTATTTAGGGGAAATGTAAGCCCAAAAAACACAGACGTATTTACATGCTTCAACCAACAACAACTGGTCCGTGTACCGTTGTATGGTGCTTGATATTATTGCTCTAACGGTGTCACGTTAGACACAACAAACCCGATAGTAGTTGCATGAAATCAAACAGGCGGACAATTTATGACGAAGTGGACTTCGCTAATGCAGGCTGAGAACAAATATCAAACATGATATAAATGGATAAATGGTGCAAAGTACCAAGTATAAAGAAATGAAAGTGAAAAATTCAAAGTACGACGTATTACCTGGGTGGCAATACCTGCGTGATCACAGCCGGGAACCCAAACTGTAATTTCGCCCCGCATACGATGCCAGCGTGTGATGGCATCTTCCAAACTATTAGTTAGCGCGTGGCCCAAATGCAGATTTCCAGTGACGTTGGGTGGTGGAATGACCATGACAAACTTCTTCCGCGGTTTGTGTGGATCTTCTCTCGACATCTGACAAACGAAAAAATGGAGATAAACGCAAACGAAACAATGGAACTTTTAAGTGGAGAAGCACTTTTTGCTGATTTCTAAAAGAGGGGATCTTGCGCCTGATGCAAGTTTTTGTTTATTATGTGTTCTTGTGAACGCATGCCGATCAGAATTTCCGCAAGAATGTGCACATAAGCAACGGTCTGTTGGGACGGAGTGGAGCTGTCTGTGGCTCTACCAATCATGGTGGCAAAAGGCATAAAAAGCTTAAAATTGATAAACATTTGGCTTAAGTACGCATGGATTAAATATCCCTTGGAAGGTTGTGAACAGAAAACGGGAACTTGACGGCTTAGTGCGTAGAGTAGTTTAAGTCTCAAAGACGGACGAGTCACAAAATTTGAGAATCTGGTGACAAAAACGTATGTTCTAAACTAACCCAATACTCGGGCGAAAAAAAGCCGCATTTTTCCCACCACTGATACCAAATAGCTTCCACGTACTTAGGGGAATATGACTCCGGCATGCTTCCGGAAACATCTAAACATCAGATTAGAAGATTTTGACACACCTTTCTTCCCGGATTCCTCTGCCACTGGCTCTCCGATTTCAACAACCTTCTTAGTAACTTTCTCGTGCCTCGTCGACTAAAAAGATGTCTATAACGTCAAAACGCACCTTTCCAGTACTCTGGTTAGCTAATTTTTCTTTTTTCGCATTAAATTTTGCTAGTTTTTCTAGCTTTTTTGCTTCATTCCTTAGTTGCTTCTCACTCTTCACGACCCCTTCCATCCCACGCACTAGCCTCGAGCTCACTGGGTGCGGTAGTAACAGTGCACACTATTTTCTTAAAGTGCGCAGTTGAGTTGAAGTTTGGTGCTTTAGATTAAGGCATTGGAAAATATTGATAAAGGGCGAGTGATATAATAAATTTTGAAACAGAGTGACAAATGATTTTTATTTAGTCGACAGGGGAGATGGAGGCAGTCATAGTTGCACAAGTGATGAACTTGTAACTGCTGGCCGTCGCTTTCACGGAGGAGGTTCAGTTGGTAAACTGAGAATCCTGATTAAAAAACTTCCTAAAGACAGGAACGACTGGCAACTTCTTTGCTATAGGACACCTCGATGCTGTATGCCACCGAGGGAGACGCCTTGTCCATCGCTTTAGCCCCGTTAGTTCATTTTCATTCTCTAAGTCAGGAACAACTATTATGGACATGACTATGGTCATATTCCAAGTACTTTGTCCTTCATTTTTTGGTGTAAGTGATCACTACTATTGCGGTTTCAGATGGCGTGGGTGAGTTTCATGTGAATATGGCCCTGTAGAAGCAGTCCCGCAATTAACTATTTCCTTATTCTGTTTTCTGTGGATGGGCGTGTCGTCATCTACCACATCCAAGCAGAAGGGGTGTCGGCAGGGAATTCACCTGTGACTTAGCCCATCTCTGTCCTCCAAAAAGTAATTATGATAAGTAGTTTACTTTTGCAATTGCGTCTATATAATTCAGTTCATTACTCAAAGAAATCCATAGTCTATACATTTTAAATCTTTATTTGTTACGATCAACGCAGATATATCAAAAAATCCGGAAAGCAGAACATCAGATACGTACAGGGGAGTCATTGAGGTCTTGCACACAGGCCAGCTATTCTGAATGTTAGCACAAGCGGCACAGGTATACGCATATGCTAGTAATCGTTAAGGGCAATGCTGCTGCCAGTGGTTATACGCAATGTCTGAAAGCATGTGTTATTCCAGTGTCAGCAGAACATGGTCCTCGCAGCCAGGTATGCGCTGACAGTGCCCTGACGCCTGGGTCCCTGCGGGTAAATGCGCTTGGTCTCCCGCTGAGAAAACACATGGCTGCCCAGTCATCATCCTCGTCCTTCTCACCTCTTTTGGGGTATTACTGTTTTTTTTGTGAAAAATCTTGGTCAAGTGTGTATTGTGGGCCAGGGGGTATGGTGGCACGCCTAGGTGCGGGTACGGCCGCGTCAGGCAACTGCGCCCCCCCCCCCTCACCTCTGATCTTCCTGACTCTGTCTTGACACCGGGTCCAGGTGGGGAGTTGGGAGGAGAGAGTGCGGTAGATGCTGCGCAAGTCTACTCTCACTATAAATCGAGTTACGCGCAAACCACCGTGCCTGATGCACCTAGTTTTTTGATAAAATTTAGTTCAGTTTGCACGGTGGACACCGTCGGAGTCGACGGTCGGAACGTCGTTAGTTATACGTAATGATGTAAAGACATTAAGAAATGTTCATAAACGAAGATCAATGGAGGATGTGTAGTGACGCGTCAACCTGTGATAACTTGTCAGTGTAAGGTGCCAGGTCGACGTCGGTCTGCTAGCAGGTTCGCGTCACTTATGAGATTAAAACAGGCAGACGCATGATGCAGCACCGATCCAAATTCCAGATAAAAGGGTCTGAATATGTGCACAAGCTTCCACCATCCTGTTAGAGAAGAATATCACCGTGTCCCGTATTGTCACGGTCACAAGTAGTCTGAATGGACCTCCTCACAACCTCGATCTGTATGTCAAACCCGAGGATTCACAAGACAACTGTCCTGGCTGCGAGTGATGAGGAATAGTTAATTCAGTGATTCAGCATAATTCAGTATATATGAGGGATAGAGGCAGAGCCCTGGAAAACCCTATTGACAGATAGACGTATGAAGAAAAACCTGCATCAGGTCGCCTCGTAGCTGTCTGAAATTTAAAGAAAAGAGATCAAGATTAGACCGCAGTGCCTCATGAGTTAGTGACTCCCCTCATGCTAAAAGTCTGCTTGCCCGCCTTTCAACTATCTCAAGGATACTGAGTTCACTGGCGGTCAAGTGTCTCCAGGTACAGTTGTCGGACCAAAGTCGTGGTTGTACGACATTTCAAAAGATTTCAACTGAGCATTCATTTGTGTTGGTGACGCAAAAAATTGAAATCAAACGTCGACAAACCGAGTGTTTGCTTTAACAGATGACTGTGAAGGTTTAATATATCCAAAAGTCATGGTTCTACATCTAAACTTCAATCGAACTGTCTCTCCCAAACATCAGTGATATATTAATGTGACAGTATTAGAAGATACAGGAAGGTACAGAGATCTCGGAGTATGGACGACCACAAATCTAATGCTAACAGAACGCTTTAAAAAAGTGGTTCAGAAGGCAAGTAGTACGTTACATTTGCGTGCATTTAAAATATTTCTACCCGAACTCGTCGGAAGAATTTTCGGCGTCTTTGCAAGACCTCACCTGGTATGTGGAATGTCAGCAGCCCCATCATGGATGAGGAAGACATTGACCTTATCGAACAGGTGCTACGTTGAACCACGAAGCTGGTCGATCGTCTGAAGCATTTGTCACACCAGGAGACTAAGGAATAGACCAATTGGCTGAACTCCTCTTTAAAGAAGGAAGTTAACAAGGAGAGGAAGCCACGGTAAAGATCCCTCATTGATCGAACGTCAGAATTCTTAAGCGGTTATAAGAATTTCTCGGTAAAAAAATGGTGAACGGATTCTAGTTTCTTCCGCTCAGTAGCACGCATGAGGCTAAATTATAACGAACAGTATTCCAGGCCAGGTCGTACGTACACGTTATAAAGGCGCATTTTAATATCGCTGGTTTTAAAGTTTAGGAGGATAAACCCAGTCGTTCTACGTGCTCTGGAGACTATCAGGGCATAATGCTCCGAAAGATTAAGACCCTTTGAGTATAATGCACCCAGATCGTTAATAACCCCAGGCATATTTATGACGTGACCGTCAATGCTTAGTTGAGGTTGGCGGTTGTCGCCAACCACCATGACTGAGCACTTATGCCAAGAACGAGAAAGGCGCCTCAGGAGCTCAAGCACGATGTCACTATCTGCGGGTTATACCTGCATGCAACTTTCAGATCATCCGCATATGCAGATGGTTTGCCATTCTCAAATAAATCCGGTACATCGATAACAGAATAGCAAGATAAAAACGGACCAAGTACACTAACCTGAATGACTCCACTCCTCACACATGTGGGGTTGAAGATAGCATTGGAAATGATAAATCGTTGTGTACGAGTGCCCAGGTAAGAGGATATAAAATTCAAAAGTTTGTCACCTATTCCGAAAGAGGACAGTTTCAAGAGAAGAAGTGCACGATCAACTCGATCAAAAGCCTTGGTGAAATCGAAATAGACTGTGTAAAAAGCAAAACCATTGTCCATAGATCGGAGAACATTGCCAAAGAAAGAGAGTTGACAGGTGTCACAAGGCTGAGCTTTTAGGAATCCATGCTGTGAAGCGCTCAGTGTGTTATTCTCTGTTAAGTGACACATCATACTATCCTTGGTCAATATCTCTAAGATCTTCGAAACTGTGGGGAGGGCGTAAATCGGCCGAAGTTATCAAATGGCGTAGATTGGCCATGCTAGGGATTGGGCAAAATGTGTGATTCCTTCCACAAAGTAGGATAGTTTTCGCATTCAAGAGCGATATTAAATACCTTGCACAGGTTGGGCGGGAAAATTTCATTTGCATCCGCTTTTAGAATGTTTACTGGGACAGTATCAGTTCCAGGGCTATGAGAGTGACGAAAACGCCGAATCGCTACAGCCACATCCCAGAGAGTGAAAGTCATATATTTTGAGAACGGCCCCGGTCCAAGCCTGGATGGTCTACATCGGAGTGGTCGGGTTTTTGATAATCAATTTGGACAGGAAAGCACTGAAAGTCTGAGCAGTCAACTGGGAATCAGCTATAGGATTTCCGAGAGCGTCTCGAATGGTGTGATGCCACGTCTTTCTGTAAGTTCGTATTTACAGGGAGAAAAGTTTCATGACATTCGACAGACGGTTTTCAATAAATTGGACAACTTCGGTTAGCTGTTTTTCTTCAGACAATCCCTTAACCCGCCCAAAAATATCACAAATCGAGGGCAGAACGGAAACTTCGTTTTGAAGGTGGAATCGACGAGAAAGTCTGCGCAATCTGCGGCGAAAAAATAAGAGTAGAAAAACCTCATCCCCGACATTAACTATTTCCTTACGGGGGACAAAACGAGAAATAAACGGATCCAAAGTTTCGCACAATTTAGCACTGCAAGCATTTACATCCAAACTAAGGAAGAAATCAGTCCAGTCGTAGGAATTAAGGTGTGTTCATAATTCGGTCGTGCACGCTGATCGGAAATCGAAGAAGACGCTATACTTTGGGGACAAAATTTTGTCACAGCTCCATTAAATGCTCCGCACACACTATCTTTTTCGTATTGACTGACAGTGAACAGATGTGCATCATTACTATAAATGTTGTATTGTGAACGGATCGCATTCTAACAGTTTCCAACTTAAGAAGAAGAAGAAGAAGAAGAAGATGCGATCACTGGAACAAGAGGTTTATTGGCCTGACTTTTCGGATCCTTACTCGAACCCAACACCAGAGGCCGATTTAGGTAAAGTTATCAGAGGCGCAGAGACTGCATTATTTATAATACGTAGCTGCCGAGGGGCCACATGCGTACTATAATTAACAGCTCTTGTGATCATCACTGGAAGTCGTAATTAAGACCATCATCGCCAATAAAATTCTCGTACCAGTGACCGCATCTTCTTCTATTGAACTGCTTCGTGGAACTCACCTTTTCGCTTCCAGCAGTTTGAACCTTCATTTTGAGTGAGAAAATACGAAATTATTGTACACAAATAGGCTCATCAAGGGCTCTGCACTTAGCTCTTCAAACCATTACATACATGCACGTATAACTATTATAACACATATATTATGGAATACCGACAAAGACAAGGAAGATCGGAATGGCCATTTCTGGCTCATTAGCCGTCATCAGCCAGTCATACCCAATCCCAATTTTGAACCACCAGGAGTTCGAATCCGGGATCATTGGCCGTTGAGTCGAACGTTCTACCAACGAGACACAGGCTCGCTGTCTTGTCTCTTCTGACCAGGGATGATGATAATAATGGTGAAGTGGCGTTCGCCAACCAAGTAACGGGACATGCTCGTCCCGTTGTGCTGTAACGACCGATTGTTTTAAACGGACCTTTTTACACCCCGCCCTCCCTTTCTGAGTTTGGGTCACGTGGATTCGAGCCGACGCCTGTCGACGCGCCCTCCGCTAAGTCCCCTTTTCCTTATCGTTTTCGTATTCCTGGACTGCCCATTCGTTTTCCGTCTCGTTTATTTCACAACTAACCAACCTTTTTCCGTATTTCGCGTTTTTTTGATTCATAGGATTAAGTTGTATTCCCATATTTATTTAGTAACCTGTACCCACTATTTTTACCTTTATAATAGATCGCGCTAAACTTATTTTTCTATCGTTCCGCTAACCTTTTGCCAATAAACCTTTATACCCGGTACAACCGTCGCTATCATGTCTACTCCACCTCTTTCATTTCCTAGTGTGTATGAGGGATTAACTCAACTTTTAGAGGAGTTTTCCTTGGCTATCCATACGAAAGACCACAAGCCATCATATTCAACCTCAGGCCTCCCCGAGTTCCCCAGAGTCCCTCCCTACTCGGCCGCTACATTGGTGGCAACTACTCCGCCCACTAATCCTTTCGTTGACCCACCCTTTCCCCACCCTCCCCCAGTGGCCCCGCTCACCGACCGTCTATACACATCAGCGCCTAGCCCCCTGTTATCCCCAGACGCCTACGAATCCGGACACAACATTCGTGATTGGCTGTGTGACTTAGATCTTTTCCTGACCGACGTCCCACCCCACCAATATACTTGCTTCTTACTACGTTTCCTTTCCCCATCCGCCAGGCGACGCGCCTTCGATGCCGGCCTTACACCAGCTACCCCGTTCCCCGTCGCCTGCCGTTGCGTCGTGCAGCTGTTCGACACCCCTGACGCGCCTGACATCGCGGCAGAGCGATTTGCCAAGTTACGCCAGGCCCTCCGGCAATCAGTTGACGACTTTGCAACGGAACTCACCCGACTTGCCTCCGCGGCTTTCCACAACTTACCAGACCCCGATCGGGACGACCTTATCCTCCACCGTTTCATTTCAAGCCTCTTCGATCGCACGATCACCGACTCCTTCCTCCTCCACCCCCTGCGTACTTTGAACGACGCCTTGCGGCAGTGCCGTCTGCATCTTACATATCACCGAACACACCAACCCCCTCCGAGACCCCCTTTACCCCCAGCCCGGCCGGAGCCCCAAGCCCCAGATAGACGGAACCCTTTGCCGTTCCCCTTCCCTGATCACAACCCTGGCTCCAATCTATGGACCATAGTTTTGCTCTTTACACAGTATATTTCGATTTCACTAAGGCTTTTGACAGTGTTGACAATGCTCTTCTCCTCCTGAAATTGTCCTCTTTCGGCATAGGTGGCAAACTTTTGAATTTCATATCCTCTTATTTGGGCACTCGCACACAACGAGTTAAGATTTCCAATACCATCTCCAAGCCCACACGTGTGAGGAGTGGAGTCATTCAGGGTAGTGTACTCGGCCCGCTTTTATTTTGCCTTTTCGTTAATGATGTACCCGATTTATTTTAGAGTAGTAAGCCTTGCATGTATGCCGATGATCTTAACGTTGCATATCGATATAAGCCGGCATACCATGGCATAGTGCTTGATCTCCTAAAGAGCGATCTACAGGCTTTCGCCCAGTGGTGCCGCACATGGCGCCTTTCTCTTTCTTGGCATAAGTGCTCAGTCATGGTGGTTGGCGACGACCGCCAACCTCAACTACGTATTGAAGGTCACGCAATAAATGTGCCAGGGGTTATAAAGGATTTGGGCGTATCATACTCCAAGAGTCTTAATCTCTCGGAGCACTGTGCCTTGATAGTCTCCAAAGCACGTAGAACGACCGGGTTTATCCTCCGAAATTTTAAAACTAGGGACATTAGAATGCGCCTTTACAACATGTACGTTAGACCTGGTCTGGAATACTGTTCGTTTTCATTTAGCCTCATGCGTGCTACTGAGCGGAAGAAAATAGAATCCGTTCAACAATTTTTTACCAAGAGAATTTTAACCCCGGAACACCGACATTTGTCTTACCAAGAACGTTGCCGGCTTACAGGACTCGATCCCTTATGGTTCCGTAGATTACAAAAGGGACTATTTTTGCTATTTAAACTCTTATATAATCACACATTTAACCCACTCACCTCTTTAAGACATCATATCCACCCACGACGTAACAGTCACCATGAGGTCTTCTTATTTCTTCCTCTGGCACGTACTGTTAAATATCGTCAGTTCATTTCTGTAAATGTAATTGCTACTTGGAATAAACTATCCAGAAATGTAAAAAATCTGCAAAATTATCCTTTATTTAAGAGAACTATTACTCGATTTTTGCACTCAGAAAAGCTCCCACAAATTTCGGGTGCTGAATCTACTGATCGACTGTACCGTAGCGATGGCGTTTGTGGTCTCTGAACACTATGGCCGGTCTCACCAGCTGTTCCTCAACGCCTCTACTTTGACTATCCCCAACTTCATGAAAGGAATTTGACGTCCGATAAACTCCGATATCGTGCAACCTCCCCCCTTCTTGACGGTCGATCTTCTACCACCGCCGACAGGTTTTTTCTCCTGAGCCCTCCAAACCACAAAAACCACCATCAACTATATTTTTATCCCTTAAGCTCAGGAGTTTTTTTCACTGCCGGTCGGATCTGTGATTAATCGCTCCCCTTGACAATGCCTGTAAACTGGCATTAAATAAAAAATTTATTTATTTATTTATTTTGGACCACGAGCTCGCCACTTTGGCCACAACCCACCTTGTGAGTCCACCCCCATTGACGCTATTTACTTTCACGATTTTTTTATGTTCCTGCTTTTACTGTGCCGGTACGTGTGGATAGTCACCCCACTCGCGCGTTAGTAGACACGGGCGCAAATGTGTCGCTTGTCACCATTCGCAAGCTTCCCAATCACCTACTGCGTCACGTAGACCCACTTCAAATTCAATTACTTCAATTCAATTCAATTATTTTTATTAAAGACCCGTCGGGGTCCCATCAAAGCTAGTAAAAATAAATTTACATGCGAATTTTAGACGAGGTTGGCAAAATCTGTACAAAGTGCTAGACATAGTTTTTGAGATTAGAAGTCCGTTAAGCAAAATAAAAAACGAGGGGTGAAAAAAAAACTCCAAAGCAAAATTTAAAAATGATTGTAGTAATTTAACAGGAGAAAAAAAACCCTCAAAAAATAGCATCAGAAAAATGCAGGGAGGACTGGCCTGCATGTGGCGGTACAGAATGGAATATAGTCGGACATCAACATGGCCGAAATAAATGACAGCTGTATATGGCATTGTGTAACGGATTTCATAAAATGGTACGTAGGCGGGTCGGTCAGGACTGGCCTGTATCGCCTTGAATAAGAAAAATAAATGGCGAAATTGAAAACTAGTCTCGAGCTGATAGGAACCCAGATGCGGTCGGTTTCATTCAACCGAGTCCATCCGAGCATGGGGGAAGGGAGATGCGACCAGACTACTAGTATATGGCGAATATAGAAGGCTTTGTCAAGACCGCCGATGGAGCGCATTCTGTGAGGGCACTATGAAATTCAGTCTCGAGGCGATAGGAACCCAGATGCGGTCGGTTACTTTCAACCGAGTCCAACCGAGGATGGGGTAAGGGAGATGCGACCTGAATACTAGTATATGGCGAATACAGAAGGTTTCGCCAAGAGCATCGATGGTGCGCATTCTGTGAGGGCACGATGCATGGACTGAAAAATTGGAATAATTAATATTTCCAGTGAGGGATCTGAGGTAGCGAGACTGCTCATAAAGGAAGGAAACGTGAACAGATACGGAAATTTAATAGCGGCATGCCAAATTCCCGGTGGCCCTTTCTCACTGTCATAGAAAAATTTGTCTGGGAAGGATGAGGAAAATAAAAGTTTAATCAAGTCAGTATTCAGATAAAGGCGTAGCCTTCTCTTAAAGGTGTGTAGATTTTCTGAAGATCTTATATTTATTGGAAGGTTATTCCAGAGGAAAGTATACCTGGAAGCGAAAAAAAGGGAGCGCTTAGAGGTGGAGAACGCTGGAGGAGGTATAATTAGAGACGAATTGCGAAGATTGTATGGGCGACTACTAGGGGTAAGTGCTGAAATCCGAGGAAAATTTGAACTATGATTAATGCGAAAGAGGAGACAGAAGCCCGCTTCTAGTCTTCGAACCCATAAAAATTTTAGGTTAATTAGCTGGCATCTATCTAAATAGGAGATATTGGGATGTTCCCTATCGAAAAGTTTTTTAGAAAAACGTCTTTGGACATTTTCAATTTTTAAAAGACTGGCTTCATTCATCAAACCAAAGAATGGGCAACAATACTCGAGAATGGGAAGTAAAAACATACGATAGAGCCTTAATTTAATTTCAGGAAGATAGAAATTGTAAGAAATAAAGCCACAAATCTGGGCAGCTTTGGCTGCAATTTTGTCAGCGTGCGGCGAGAGATCAAGATTACTACTGTAGCTTAAACCTAAATCCTTGATGGTGGTACATTCAGTCATAGGTGTGCCTTGAAAGACCACTGGTTGGGGTAGCCTATTACGTCCAAAACACATATAGCGACATTTAGACGGAGAGAATTCCATTAGCCATTTTGAGCTCCAAGCTGAGAGAGCAAGCAAGTCAGCATGGATTTGCTCCAGGCAATGAAGACTCGTAGATTTTTTAAAAGAATATACACATTTGAGATCATCGGCATAAATAAATGATTGAGAATGTTTAACTGCTGCTGAAATATCATTTATGTAAAGCAAGAACAAAAGAGGACCTAAAACGGTACCTTGTAGGACACCGCTTACAATAGGACTTTCACTGGAAAGTGAAGATCCCACCAAAACCTTTTGTTTACGATTAGACAGGTATGACCTCAGAAAGTCTATTAGTGGACTGCGAATTCCCATGGCTTCCAATTTAATCAAGAGTCTTTTATGTGGCACTTTATCAAAGGCTTTACTAAGATCAAAATAAATAACGACAACAGATAGGTGATCATTACGAAGAGAGGTAAGTAGATCGAGAAACGACAGATGACATGTTTCACAAGAGCGATCTGGTAAAAAACCATGCTGGGAAGGGCTAATCACTTGAGTGGCTATACAAAATTCGGCAATTTTTACGGCGATACTTTTTCAAAGATTTTGGCGAGAGAGGGTGTTTTATGGACACCTCGATAGTTCTGTACGTCAGAACGGCAGCCAGACTTAAATACTGGAATAATAATAGAAGTTTTCCAATATTCAGGGAAGAAGCCATTTACGAGAAATACTGAAAAGATTTTGCTAAGCAGAGGAGGAAAATCTCTTAGCTGTTTTATCAAAGAGTTTGGGATATTGTCCGTACCTACTGAGTGAGAGTTAGGAAGACGGCTTATCAGTTTTTGAATACATTCAGGAGAAAAATAAATGACGCTAAGAGAAGCATCAGACAACGAAGGAATTAAAGGGATCGCATCCGTTTCAATGGTGAAATGCTTGGCAAAAAACGAATTTAAAATTTCTGCTTCGCCTGACTCCTCAGTAATGAAGGCATCGCTAGCACTAAGCAAGGGCGGAATGACTTGGTGGGACTTAGCAGATGATCTCTGACGGAAGATCTGAGCAACTGATTTAGAAGCATTCACGTCATTAATAGCTAAAAACTCTCTACGGCTCCCCGCTCCCTCCGCGCCGCCAACGGCACGGCGATACCCGTATCGGCCACTGTTTTGCTACAACTTATGATCGGAAACACGCGTATCTCCCATAGGTTTCTAGTTACCCCCGATGGTCCCTGGCCTATCGTTCTCGGTCTTGATTTCCTAGAGGCTCACGATCGCGTAGTCCATGTTCGCGAACGACAACTCACACTCGGCCGAAACACCACTGCGCCCGCCCCTCCAGCCATTATAGACGACCTCGACATTATGTACAACTCAGTACTTTCCGCCGTAGCGCTAGAGCCCACCCCTTTAGATACCGTTCTTCCCGCCCCCTCCCTAATCGGTTCGGTCGCGCACGAGCAACTTAAGACCCTCCTGAACTCCTTCCCAGACCTTTTTGCCTGGTCCACCGACACCATCGGGCGCACCCACTTGATTCAGCACACGATCGACACGGGAGACGCCAAGCCCGTGTGGCAACCCCCGCGCCGCATCCCATTGCGCTACCGTGAAGAAGTCACCAACCTGTTAGATGAACTACTGCAGGCTAAAATAATCCAGCCTTCGTCGTCCCCATGGGCTTCTCCCATCGCCCTCGTCCCCAAGAAGGACGGATCCGTCCGGCTGTGTGTTTATTATCGTCGCCTTAACGCCGTGACAGTTCGTGATTCCTTCC